ATGTAGGGACAAGTAACATCATAGTCACTTAGATGACCATCCAGTAACGACAGTAAGTGAATTCCAGGAACAGAGTACCTACAAGCCAAGTAGGAGAAAAGAAGTCAGCTTCACAACTGTGACCAAACAGTTCGCTCTTCAGTATCTAACCGGCGCGGCAACTCAGGATATTCATTAGCTATCAAGGATGTGTTTTAAGACCCAACAACTGGAACAGACTCAACTTAACTATACAACAACTGGTACAGTTACAGTTAACAACAGTGTGGAAAGTTACAGTTAACAACAGTGTGGAAGGAGTTTGGAGTGAACCTACAGAGTAGCGTCTGTATCCAGTCTTGGCTATGCAATCAATTTTCAGTTATAACAAGATTGGCCACCAATCAACTGGATTCATTGTACGCCTCCACCAGACAACATGGGACAGACTAACAGCTCAACGGCTCAAGACCTTCAACTCAAGATACCGTTTCAACTAAGTGACTCTAACATCTAAACAACTTTGGACAATTCAAATCAACCAACCTACTCATCGATCAGAACATTTCCATATTAGTGATTCAGACATTCTCAGCCTTAAAATCAGTTATTCTGCAAATTCCTATTTCGGACAATTCCAGCTAGTGATTCTACAAAAGTGATTAGACAATTCTTAAGAACAGTGACATTTAAATTCTTTAGTGCGTTTGTTTTAATTATTTGGAATTATCTTTGGCATATATTGTTATTTATTAAATTATTAAACGTTTTAGAGTATTAACTTTGCCACTTGTCTGTCGTAAGTCTATTTATAGACTGACCCCTTGTCCCTTGGGTCAGGCATGCAAAGTTAGTCCCCCCTAGCAGCTATAAACAATGACATTAAAAGCACTATTTTTTTGTCAGGGAAAGGCTACTTTTACACATGTTCTAAATTGAAGTGGGTGAATTGGTAGTCTGACACCTGCAGGTTAATCAATATTTTCCAAGTTCAGATACAAAAGGGGGGGAAATCTAGTTTTTGATCTTACAATGAACTTTTGATGTGGTCCTTTGATAAATCCATGACAATGAGGTCAAGGTCAGATGAAACCTGCCAGACAGACATGTACAAAATATAGTGGCCCTTTTGCTTATAGGATCTGAGAAACAGACAAAACCATGTGAACTTATTAATAGATCTTGTCTTGCTGATCGTTTTTGGTATATAAAGTTTCTATCTATTATAGTTTTCAAGACAATAGGCAACTAAGAGGCTCTCAAGAGCCTGTGTCGCTCACCTGATTCTACTTTGATTTAGGAAATCATGTAAAAATAGATTAAAATCATAACAGATACCCTAATAATGAGTGAGGTCAAATTTTGTTTAATATTGGTCCTGTAATTTAATAAAAAATCCTGGTGGCCATCTTGAACAGTAAATCAGCAACAAAGTAGCAACACTTCATCAGCACTTCATAACAAAACATTTATGCCATGTTTGGTTTCATTCCATTCAGTGCACCTCTAGAAGAAGCATTTGTATGTATTTCCTATAGGGTCTTATGTTAAAGGAAGTCCCCCCGCTGGCGGCCATCGTGGATGAAAGATCAGCTTCAAAGTAACAACACTTAGTCAGCACCTCATAAGGAACATTCATGCCATGTTTGGTTTCAATATATTCAGTACGTGGTTCTCTAAAAGAAGACATTTGTATGTATTATCCATAGGGTCCTTTGTTAAACATTGTCCCCAGCTGGCAGCCATCTTGGATGATGGATCGGCTTCAAAGTAACAACACTTGGTCAGCACTTCATAAGGAACATTCATGCCATGTTTGGTTTCATTCCGTTCAGTGGTTCTCTAAAAGAAGACATTTGTATGTATTTCCCATAGGGTCCTATATGTTAAACTAAGTCCTCCACTGGCAGCCATCTTGGATGATGGATCAGCATCAAAGAAACAACACTTGGTCAGACCCTCATAAGGAACATTCATGCCATGTTTCCTTTCATTCCATTCAGTGGTTCTCTAAAAGAAGACATTTGTATGTATTTCCCATAGGGTCCTATGTTAAACTAAGTTCCCCGCTGGCGGCCATCTTGGATGATGGATCAGCTTCAAAGTAACAACACTTAGTCAGCACCTCATAAGGAACATTCATGCCATGTTTGGTTTCATTCCATTCAGTGGTTCTCTAAAAGAAGACATTTGTATGTATTTCCCATAGGGTCCTATGTTAAACTAAGTCCCCCCGCTGGCAGCCATCTTGGATGATGGATCGGCTTCAAAGTAACAACACTTGGTCAGCACCTCATAAGGAACATTCATGCCATGTTTGGTTTCATTCCATTCAGTGGTTCTCTAAAAGAAGACATTTGTATGTATTTCCCTTAGGGTCCTAATGTTAAACTCAGTCCCCCGCTGGTGGCCATCTTGGATTATGGATCGGCTTCATAGTAACAACACTTTGTCAGTACCTCAAAAGGAACATGCATGCCATGTTTGGTTTCATTCCATTCATTAGTTCTCTAAAAGAGGACATTTGTAAATATTTCCCATAGGGTCCTATATGTTAAACTAAGTCCTCCACTGGCGGCCATCTTGGATGATGGATCGGCTTCAAAGTAACAACACTTGGTCAGACCCTCATAAGGAACATTTATGCCATGTTTCGTTTCATTCCATTCAGTGGTTCTCTAAAAGAAGACATTTGTATGTATTTCCCATAGGGTCCTAATGTTAAACTAAGTTCCCCGCTGGCGGCCATCTTGGATGATGGATCGGCTTCAAGGTAACAACACTTGGTCAGCACTTCATAAGGAACATTCATGCCATGTTTGGTTTCATTCCATTCAGTGGTTCTCTAAAAGAAGACATTTGTATGTATTTCCCATATGGTCCTATGTTAAACTAAGTCCCCCGCTGGCGGCCATCTTGGATGATGAATCGGCTTCAAAGTAACAACACTTGGTCAGCACCTCATAAGGAACATTCATGCCATGTTTGGTTTTATTCCATTCAGTGGTTCTCTAAAAGAAGACATTTGTATGTATTTCCCATAGGATCCTATGTTAAACTAAGTCCCCCGCTGGCGGCCATCTTGGATGATGGATTGGCTTCAAAGTAACAACACTTGGTCAGCACCTCATAAGGAACATTCATGCCATGTTTCATTTCATTCCATTCAGTGGTTCTCTAAAAGAAGACATTTGTATGTATTTCCCATAGGGTCCTATGTTAAACTAAGTCCCCGCTGGCGGCCATCTTCGATGAAGGATTGGCTTCAAAGGAACAACACTTGGTCAGCACCTCATAAGGAACATTCATGCCATGTTTGGTTTCATTCCATTCAGTGGTTCTCTAAAAGAAGACAATTGTATGTATTTCCCATAGGATCCTATGTTAAACTAAGTCCCCCTCTTGCAGCCATCTTGGATGATGGATCGGCTACAAAGTTACAACACTTGGTCAGCACTTCATAAGGAACATTCATGCCATGTTTGGTTTCATTACATTCAGTGGTTCTCTAGATGAAGTTCAAAATGTAAAAAGTTAACGACGACGACGGACGACGGACGAATGGACGCCAAGTGATGAGAAAAGCTCACTTGGCCCTTCGGTCCAGGTGAGCTAAAAAGGGGGGATTTTCCAGTTTTCGGACAATAACTCAAAAATGCTGTCAGCAATTCTCATGAAACTTTGGTGAATTGTTTATATCTATTGATGTATTAGCTCCCTTTACATTTTCATAAATTTCTAATATGACATTGAGAATTAATTGAACTTCATTTGTTTATAGTCTGATAACAGATTTACTAAGTATTGCGCAACAGCACAGTGTATTGCACAACAGCAAGAAATCTTTAATTGAATATAAATTCAATTCATATAACCAATTTCAAGTTCTTTGACTACATTTATTCAGAAACCTATAATATGTCAAATATTTAATTACAATCCAAATTCAGACCTGTATCAAGCTTGAATATTGAGTCCATTTTTGCCCCAACTGTTGAGGGTTGGACCTCTGCGGGCGTATCCAGCTGCGCTCAGCGAAGCAGTTTATTTAATATTTCAATTGCATTGTTTTTACATCCTCTTTTTCCTATATTCATTATTGATTTTAATATTGATAGACATAGATTTTTCAAGGGATAGTGTAGACTAGTGTATTTTTCATTGAATTTTGACTTAATATTTGCAGAAAGAGATACTAATAATGATATTGAAAATTGATGTACTAGTAACTCTGATGACCAAAAGATCTGATGGCTGGTGAATAAATCATACAGAAATTCAAACTCCCTATAGGCTGTAGGAAGTATAAATTAGAAGTTGTTTTCTTAGTCCAGTGACAAATATTTCAGTCACATTTAGGACTATAAAATATCTATCAGCAAATCTATTTGGCAGGTTTTGTGGACACAGAGGGTTGAAAGGTAGGTACAACTGAAAAAAAGAAAGGGCTAGAAAGTATGAATGCTCGACAATGAATTTAATCAGTGTTTGCATGACAATCCGACATGACTGTGTATAAAATTGTTAGACACTCTCTCCAAAAAAGGGCTTCCTACGAGACTGCAGAAGTCTGTGTGACCATAATTATATATATATTTATGTGACCCTTGCTTTTGGATACAGTATGAGGTGGTAGTTCTTTTTCCCAAATAATCACTGTGGGTAAGGTTGTTCTGTGAGAGAATGTTCTATGCTGGTGATCTTTTTAAATGTGTAAACAAAGATAATAAATTGCTTCGCCGTGCGCCGCTGGATACGACCGCAGAGGTCCAACCCTAAACAGTTGGGGCAAAAATGGACGCAATATTCGCGCTTAATACAGGTCTGAATTTGGATTGTAATTAAATATTTGACACATAAAAGGCTTCTGACACAGAATAACTGTAGTCAAAGAACTTAGAATTGTTAATATGATTTGAATTTATATTAAATTTTTTGCTTTTGTGCAATACACTTTGCTGTTGCGTATTACCCCCCCCCCCCCCCCCCCCCCCATAATGATGTATTTGAATTACCTCCCTACACTGCTTTAAATTATGTTTTGTACTAAAGTATTTGTCCATTAACCAGGACACCCTTGTTTTCCCCCTTTTTTGCCCCTAATTCCTTAACTGTTGGTACCATAACCTCCAAAATCAATCCCAACCTTCCTTTTGTGGTATTAAACCTTATGGTAAAATTTCGTAGAGATCCATTCACTTAAACTAAAGTTATTGTGCGGAAACCAATGTGTCTTCGAATACGCCAACGTCATACCAATATACGACCGCAAAAATTTTGCAGTCGTATAAAAATGATGATTTTTGACGTTTTCTTAAACAAACTAGAGGCTCTCAAGAGCCTGTGTCGCTCACCTGTATTTACTGATGCTTTGGAAATCATGTAAAATAAGGTTAAAATCATAATTAATAGTATTTGATATTACATATTATAATGATATCTAAGATAATAACAAAAAACTGCAAAATTTTTGTAAAATTACTAACTCAGGGGCAGCAACCCAACAATGGGTTGTCGGATTCGTCTGAAAATTTCAGGGCAGATAAATCTAAATCGGATGAACATTTTTGCCACCTGTCAACATTATTGCTGTTTACAGTTTATCTCTATCTATAATAATATTCAAGATAATAACCAAAAACTGCAAAATTTCCTTAAAATTACCAATTCGTGGGCAGCAACCCAACAACAGGTTGTCAGATTTGTCTGAAAATTTCAGGGCAGATAGATCTTGACCTGATAATCAGTTTTACCCTATGTCAGATTTACTCTAAATGCTTTGGTTTCAGAGATATAAGCCAAAATCTACATTTTACCCCTATATTCTATTTTTAGCCATGGCGGCCATCTTGGTTGGTTGGCAGGTTCATTGGACACATTTTTTAAACTAGATACCCTAATGATGATTGTGGACAAGATTGGTTAAATTTAGCCTAGTGGTTTCAGAGGAGAAGATTTTTGTAGAAAGCTAAAGACGACGGACGACGACGACCAGGGACGACCGACGCCAAGTGATGAGAAAAGCTCACTTGGCCCTTCGGGCCAGGTGAGCTCAAAATGAAAGGAAATAGTTGAGATGTTTTAATTTTGTTTCTTATGGTTCAAAGGCAAGCAATTAAAAACAAGAGGCTCTCAAGAGCCTGAATCGCTCACCTGTATTTCAGAGGAGAAGATTTTTAAATGTTAGCAAACTTGATGAACAAATTGTGTAAAATTGTCTTTAAAGGGCAATAACTCCTTAAGGGGTCAATTGACAATTTTGGTCATATTAACTTTTTAGTAGATCTTACTTTGCTGAACATTATTGCTGCTTACAGTTTATATATATCTATAATAATATTCAAAATAATAACAAATAAAATGCTTCCCTGAGCGCAGCCTGATACGACCGCAGAGGTCGAACCCTGAACAGTTGGGGCAAATATGGACACAACATTCAAGCTTGATACACACTGAATTTGGATTGTGATTAAATATTTGACACAGCATAGGTTTCTGACACAGAATGAATGTGGTCTAAGAACTTATAAAATTTTAATTTACCTATTCAAACCATATCAATATTATTTTTTTTTATATATAAATCAGAAATAACCAATTTAAAATGAAAAATTTTAAAGAAAAATAAAATGCTTCACTGGGCGCAGCTTGATACGACCGCAGAGGTCGAACCCTGAACAGTTGGGGCAAGTATGGACACAACATTCAAGTTTGATACAGCTCTGAATTTGGATTGTGATTAAATATTTCACTCAGCATAGGTTTCTGACACAGAAAGAATGTGGTCTAAGAACTTGAATTTTTTTAATTTACCTATTATGGTCCAATGTCCAAAATCAAAATACATGGTTAGATTCAGCATATCAAAGAACCCCATATATTCATTTTTTGTTGAAATCAAACAAAGTTTAATTTTGGACCCCAACTTGGACAAACTTGAAAACTGGGCCCATAATCAAAAATCTAAACACATGTTTAGATTCAGCATATCAAAGAACCCCAAGAATTCAATTTTTGTTAACATCAAACTAAGTTTAATTTTGGACCCTTTGGACCTTAATGTAGACCAATTGAAAAAACGGGACCCAAAATTAAAAATCTAAATACATGATTAGATTCAGCATATCAAAGAACCCCATATATTCAATTTTTGTTGAAATCAAAAAAAGTTTAATTTTGGACCCCAACTTGGACCAACTTGAAAACTGGGCCCATAATCAAAACTCTAAACACATGTTTAGATTCAGCATATCAAAGAACCCAAAGAATTCAATTTTTGTTAAAAATCAAACTAAGTTTAATTTTGGACCCTTTGGACCTTAATGAAGACCAATTTAAAAAAACCGGACCATAAATTAAAAATCTAAAAACACGGTTAGATTTGGCATATCAAAGAACCCCAATAATTCAATTTTTGATGAAATCAAACAAAGTTTAATTTTGGACACTTTTGACCTCAATATGAACCAATTTGATGGCGGGGTCCACAAATAAAAAATCTAAATACATGGTTAGATTCAACATATCAAAGAACCCCATATATTAATTTTTGTTGAAATCAAACAAAGTTTAATTTTGGACCACAATTTGGACCAACTTGAAAACTGGGCCAAAAATCTAAAATCTAAATACATGTTTAGATTCAGCATATCAAAGAACCCCATATATTCAATTTTTGTTGAAATCAAACAAAGTTTAATTTTGGACCCCAACTTGAAAACTGGGCACATAATCAAAAATCTAAACACATGTTTAGATTCAGCATATCAAAGAACCCAAAGAATTCAATTTTAGTTCAAATCAAACTAAGTTTAATTTTGGACCCTTTCGACCTTAATGTAGACCAATTTAAAAAACAGGACCCAAAATTAAAAATCTAAATACATGGTTAGATTTGGCATATCAAAGAACCCCAATAATTCAATTTTTGATGAAATCAAACGAAGTTTAATTTTGGACCCTTTTGACCTCAATATGAACCAATTTGATAGCGGGGTCCACAAATAAAAAATCTAAATACATGGTTAGATTCAGCATATCAAAGAACCCCATATATTCAATTTTTGTTGAAATCAAACAAAGTTTAATTTTGGACCCCAATTTGGACTAACTTGAAAACTGGGCCAAAAATCAAAAATCTAAATACATGTTTAGATTCAGCATATCAAAGAACCCCATATATTCAATTTTTGTGAAAATCAATCAAAGTTTAATTTTGGACCCTTTGGACCTTAATGTAGACCAATTTGAAAACTGGACCCAAAATTAAAAATCTAAATACATGGTTAGATTTGGCATAACAAATAAATAAATGTGATCAAAGATTTTACAAATCTAATGCGCCATACTGTGCAATTAAAGATTACTTCTTGAAATTTTCCAATATTTGAAATTTGAAAAAAAAATAATATTTGAAGAATAATTCTTTTTAATTTCTGAAATCTGAAATGAGAAAAACTGACCCCCACAATTTCTTTTTACCCCCCCCCCACCCCCCTTTTTTCCCCCAAAAAATTCTTTCCCTCAAGATATGGTCATAATCTCAATTCAAATTTCCAATGGAGTTTGCAACCATAATTACCTATTTAAATTTACCATAGTGCTAACTTAATCTATTTTATAATAGAATTTAAAATATAGTGTCAAATCTTTCATATGGATTTTTTTGTAAAAAAAAAAGATGCAACATTTGCAGATATTTTTACTGGTCTTCCTTTATAAATATGCATTTCTTTCAACATAATTTAAAAGCAGTGTAAGGGAAGTAACCAAAACTTTGTATTTGGATTACCTCCCTTACACTGTTTTTAATTATCTTAATTTTTCATTAACCATTACTTTATACATAATTTAAAAGCAGTGTAAGGGAGATAATTTCAATGATGTATTTGATTTATCTCCCTTACACTGCTTTAAATTATGTTTTGTACTAAAGTATTTGTCCATTAACCAGGACAACCTTGTTTTTCCCCCTTTTTTGCCCCTAATTCCTAAACGGTTTGAGCCTTAACCCCCCAAAGCAAATCCTAACCATCCCTTTGTGGTATGGAAACTTGTAGTATAATTTCAGAGAGATCCATACTTCGTTCCACAGTTATTGTCTGGAAACTAGAAAATGCTTATTTTTGGCCCCTTTTTGGCACCTAATTCCTTAACTGTTGGTACCATAACCCCCAAAATCAATCCCCACCTTCCTTTTGTGGTATTGAACCTTATGGTAAAATTTCAAAGAGATCCATTCACTTAAACTAAAGTTAGAGTGCGAAAACCAATGTGTCTTCGGACGACGACATCGACGCCAACGTCATACCAATATACGACCGCAAAATTTTTTTGCGGTCATATAAAAACTGCAAAATTTTGTTAAAACTACCAATTCGGTGGCAGCAACCCAACAATGGGTTGTTCCATTCGTCTGATAATTTCAGGGCCGATAGATCTTGACCAATTAAACAATTTTACCCCATGTCACATTTGCTCTAAAAGATTTAGTTTTTGAGATATAAGCCAATAAAATGCTCCGCTGGGGCGCAGCTTGATACAACCGCAGAGGTCGAACCCTGAACAGTTGGGGCAAGTATGGACACAACATTCAAGCTTGATACAGCACTGAATTTGGATTGTAATTAAATATTTGACACAGCATAGGTTTCTCACACAGAATGAAAGTGGTCTAAGAACTTAAAAAATTTTAATTTACCTATTCTTACCATATCATTATTATTTGCTTTTATATATAAATCAGAAAAAAACAATTTAAAATGGAAAATTTTAAAGAAAAAAAAATCCCCCCCCTCCCCCAATTTTTTGAACCCCCTTATGATTCATCACCCCCAAACTCAATCCCAGCTTTCCCTTTGTGGTATGGTACCTTGCAGTACAATTTCAGAGAGATCCATACACTTGAACACAAGTTATTGTCTGGAAACTAGAATAAACAGCTGCGCCATGAGCGCATGATACGCCCGTCGTCTTGTGTGTGAATTTTTATGCAATAAGCATAAATAGTTTCTGACTTACAGCGTGACATGCGAAAACCCCCTTTTTTTTTTACAAAAAACTCAATATCTCTAAAATAAAATTTTGAATAAAAACCAAAAAGTATACAGATCTTGAGATTAATTTAACTAAGAAGTGTGTAAAATTTTAAGTAATAATCATAAATCGTTTTAGAGATACAGCGCGACATGTGAAAAACCCCTCCCCCTTTTTTTACAAAATACTCAATAACACAAAAATAAAATTTTGAATCATCACCAAAAAGTATACAGATCTTAAGGTTAATATAACTAAAAAGTGTGTAAAGTTTTAAGCAATAATCATAAACTGTTTTTGAGATATGGCGCGACATGTGAAAAACCCCTCCCCCTTTTTTAACAAAATACTCAATATCTCTAAAATAAAATTTTGAATCATCACCAAAAAGTATACAGATCTTAAGATTAATATAACTAAGAAGTGTGTAAAGTTTTAAGCAATAATCTTAAATTGTTTTTGAGATACGGCGCGACATGTAAAAAAAAACACACACCTGTTTTAGTTACTAAGTCCCGTAACTCAAAAAGTTTTAATCTTATTCTCACCAAAAAGTATACAGATCGTTTGACCATCATAAGAAACAACTATGTTAAGTTTCATGAAATTTGGATAAGTCATTCTCAAGTTACGGTGCGACATGTTTACGCCGGACAGACAGACGGACGGACGCCGGACATTTGTATAACATTATACGTCCCGTAAAAAATTTGATGGGCGTATAAAAATGCTTGTTTTTTGGCCCCTTTTAGGCCCCAAATTCCTAAACATTTAGGGCAATTACCCCCAAACTCAAACCCAGCTTTCCCTTTGTGATATGGAACCTTTTAGTACAATTTCATAAAGATCCATACACTTACACACAAGTTATTGTCATGAAACTAGAAAAATGCTTGTTTTTTGCCCCTTTTTGGCCCCTAATTCCTAAAATTTGGAGGCAATTACCCTCAAAATCAATCCCACCATTCCCTTTGTGGTATGGAAACTTGTGATACAATGTCAGAGAGATCCATACCCTTACACACAAGTTATTGTCATGAAACTAGAAAAATGCTTGTTTTTTGCCCCTTTTTTGCCCCTAATTCCTAAAATTTTGAGGCAATAACCCCCAATATCAATCCCAGCATTTCCTTTGTGAAATTGAACCTTGTGGTACAATTTCAGAGAGATCCATACACTTACACACAAGTTATGTCTGGAAGTTACAATAAAATGCTTGATACGACCGCAGAGATCGAACCCTGAACAGTTGGGGCAAGTATGGACACAACATTCAAGCTTGATACAGCTCTGAATTTGGATTGTGATTAAATATTTGACACAGCATAGGTTTCTGACACAGAATGAATGTGGTCTAAGAACTTAAAAATTTTAAATTGGACATTCACCTATTATGGTCCAATATCCAAAATCTAAATACATGGTTAGATTCAGCATATCAAAGAACCCCAAGAATTCAATTTTTCATGAAATCAAACAAAGTTTAATTTTGAACCCTTTTGACCTCAATGTGGACAAAGTTGATAACAGGGCCCAAAAATCAAAAATCTAAATACATGGTTAGATTCAGCATATCAAAGAACCCCATATATTCAATTTTTGTTGAAATCAAACAAAGTTTAATTTTGGACCCCGATTTGGACCAACTTGAAAACTGGGCCCATAATCAAAAATCTAAATACATGTTTAGATTCAGCATATCAAAGAAGCCTGAGAATTCAATTTTTGTTAAAATCAAACTTAGTTTAATTTTGGACCCTTTGGACCTTTTAATGTAGACCAATTTGAAAACGGAACCAAAAATTAAGAATCTAAATACACAGTTAGATTCGGCATATCAAAGAACCCCAATAATTCAATTTTTGATGAAATCAAACAAAATTTAATTTTGGACCCTTTGGACCTCAATGTGGACCAATTTAAAAACGGGTCCCAAAATCCAAAAACTTAATACACGGTTAGATTCAGCATATTAAAGAACCCCAAGAATTCAAGAATAAAACCCCATTGAAATTGGTCAAGAAATAAGCAATTTATACGAAGTATCTTCTTTTGCACAGTACTGTGCAATTGAATATTTCTTGCTATTGCACAATACTGCACAATTGACAATTTCTTGCTATTGCGCAATATTGTGCTATTGGATATTTCTTCCTATTGCGCAATACTGTGCAATTGAAGATTTCTTGCTATTGCGCAATACTGTGCAATTGAAAATTTCTTGCTATTGCACAATACTTATTATATAATAATTTACACATCCTGTTTGGTGTGTATCTCCTACCATATCATTATTATTTGCTTTTAAATATAAATCAGAAATAACCAACTTAAAATGGAAAATTTTAAAAGAAAAAAAAAAGGAAAAAAAGAAAAAAAAGGAAAAAAAAAAATCCCCCCCCTCAAATTTTTTGAACCCCCTTATGATTCATCACCCCCAAACTCAATCCCAGCCTTCCCTTTGTGGTATGGTACCTTGCAGTACAATTTCAGAGAGATCCATACACTTGAACACAAGTTATTGTCTGGAAACTAGAAAAATGTGTTTTTTGGACCCTTTTTGGCCCCCAATTCCTAATCATTTCGGGCAATTACCCCCAAAACTCAATTCCAGCTTTCCCTTTGTGATATGGAACCTTGTAGTACAATTTCAGAAATATCCAAACACTTACACACAAGTTATTGTCATGAAACTAGAAAAATGCTTGTTTTTTTACCCTTTTTTTGCCCCTAATTCCTAAAATTTTGAGGCAATTACCCCCAAAATCAATCCCAGCATTACCTGTGTGATATGGAACCTTGTGGTACAATTTCAGAGAGATCCATACACTTGAACACAAGTTATTGTCTGGAAACTAGAAAAATGCATATTCTTGGCCCCTTTTTGGCCCCTAATTCCTAAACGTTTTGGGCAATTACCCCCAAACTCAATTCCAGCTTTCCCTTTGTGATATGGAACCTTGTAGTACAATTTCAGAAAGATCCATACACTTACACACAAGTTATTGTCCTGAAACTAGAAAAATGCTTGTTTTTTGCCCCTTTTTGGCCCCTAATTCCTAAAATATTGAGGCAATTACCCCCATCATCAATCCCAGCCTTCCCTTTGTGGTATGGTACCTTGCAGTACAATTTCAGAGAGATCCATACACTTGAACACAAGTTATTGTCTGGAAACTAGAAAAATGCTTATTTTTGGCCCCTTTTTGGCCCCAATTCCTAAACATTTCGGGCAATTACCCCCAAACTCAATTCCAGCTTTCCCTTTGTGATATGGAACCTTGTAGTACAATTTCAGAAATATCCAAACACTTACACACAAGTTATTGTCATAAAACTAGAAAAATGCTTGTTTTTTGCCCCTTTTTTGGCCCCTAATTCCTAAAATTTTGAGGCAATTACCCCCAAAATCAATCCCAGCATTCCCTTTGTGATATGGAACCTTGTGGTACAATGTCAGAGAGATCCATACACTTACACACAAGTTATTGTCTGGAAGTTACAAAAATGCTTATTTTTGGCCCCTTTTTGGCCCCTAATCCCTTAACTGTTGGTACCATAACCCCCAAAATCAATCCCAACCTTCCTTTTGTGGTATTGAACCTTATGGTAAAATTTCATAGAGATCCATTCACTTAAACTAAAGTTATAGTGCGAAAACTAATGTGTTTTCGGACGCCAATGACAACGCCGACGACTTTTGCAGTCATATATTGGTATGACATTGGCGTTGTCGTCGTCGTCGTTGGCGTCTGAAGACACATTAGTTTTTGCACTATAACTTTAGTTTAAGTGAATGGATCTCTATGAAATTTTACCATAAGGTTCAATACAACAAAAGGAAGGTTGGGATTGATTTTGGGGGTTATGGTTAAAAATTGACTATAAAGGGCAATAACTCCTAAAGGGGTCGACTGACAATTTTGGTCATGACGACTTATTTGTAGAATTTACTTTGCTGAACATTATTGCTGTTAACAGTTTATCTCTATCTATAATAATATTCAAGATAATAACCAATAAAATGCTTCGCTGAGCGCAGCCTGATACGACCGCAGAGGTCGAACCCTGAACAGTTGGTGCAAGTTTGGACACAATATTCAAGCTTGATACTGTCTTAATTTGGATTGTGATCAAATTTTTGACATAATACAGGTTTCGGACACAAAATAAATGTGGTGATCAATAATCTAAAAATGTTAAATGGGTTAAAAAATTTGTATTAAATTTCAATTGAAGATTTCATGCTATTGCGCAATACTGTGCAAAAGAAGACTTCTTGCAATTGCGCAATACTGTGCAATTCAATATTTCTTGCTATTGCGCAATAGTGTTAAATTGAAGATTTCTTGCTATTGTGCAATATTGTGCTATTGGATATTTCTTGCTATTGCGCAATACTGTGCAATTGAAGATTTCTTGCTATTGCGCAATACTGTGCAATTGAAGATTTCTTGCTATTGCGCAATACTGTGCAATTGAAAATTTCTTGCTATTGCACAATACTTAATTTAAGTATTAAAATAGAAAATGACATCATAGTAATGGCTGGCAAATTTCCAATATACATAATTAAAAAGCAGTTTACGTGAGATAAACAAAAAAGCTTCATCAGCAACATTTTATATTGGCAAATTTCCAATGAAGTTCATTAAACTAAAGTTATTGGCAAATTTCCAATGGAATTTATTAATAATAAGTTTTTGGCAAATTTCCAATATACATAATTTAAAAGCAGTTTAGGTGAGATATTCAAATGAGTTTCAATTACCAACCTTACACTGCCTTTTAAATTATGTTTTGTACTTAAGTAATTGTCCATTAACCTGGAAACCCTTTTCCCCCCTTTTTTGCACCTTATTCCTTAACGGTTTGAGCCATAACTCCCAAAGACAATTCTTACCATCCATTTGTGGTATTCAAATATCCAAAATCTAAATACATGGTTAGATTCAGCATATCAAAGAACCCCAAGAATTCAATTTTTGATGAAATCAAATAAAGTTCAATTTTGGACCCTTTAAACCTCAATGTGGACCAATTTGATAACTGGGCCCAAATATCAAAAATCTAAATACATGGTTAGATTCAGCATATCGAAGAACCCCATATATTCAATTTTTGTTGAAATCAAACAAAGTTTAATTTTGGACCCCGATTTGGACCAACTTGAAAACTGGGCCCATAATAAAAAAACTAAGTACATGTTTAGATTCAGCATATCAAAGAACCCCAAGAATTCAATTTTTGTTAAAATCAAACTTAGTTTAATTTTGGACCCTTTGGACCTTAATGTAGACCAATTTGAAAACGGGACCAAAAAATAAGAATCTAAATACACGGTTAGATTCGGCATATCAAAGAACCCCAATAGTTCAATTTTTGATGAAATCAAACAAAATTTAATTTTGGACCCTTTTGGCCCCTAATTCCTAAACTGTTGGAACCAAAACTCCCAAAATCAATCCCAACCTTTCTTTTGTGGTCATAAACCTTGTGTTTAAATTTCATAGATTTCTATTCACTTATACTAAAGTTATTGTGCAAAAACCAAGAAAAATGCTAATTTGGGCCCTTTTTTAGCCCCTAATTCCTAAACTGTTGGGACCAAAACTCCCAAAATCAATCCCAATCTTCCATTTGTGGTCATAAACCTTGTGTTTAAATTTCATAGATTTCTATTAACTTATACTAGTTATAGAGCGAAAACCAAATGTCTTCGGAAGAAAGACGACGATGACGTCGACGACGACAACGACGACAACAACGACGCCAACGTCATACCAATATACGACCACAAAAATTTTGCGGTCGTATAAAAACTGCAAAATTTCCTTAAAATTACCAATTCAGGAGCAGCAACCCAACAACAGGTTGTCAGATTTGTCTGAAAATTTCAGGGCAGATAGATCTTGACCTGATAATCAGTTTTACCCTTTGTCAGATTTACTCTAAATGCTTAAGTTTCAGAGATATAAGCCAAAATCTATATTTTACCACTATATCCTATATTTTTAGCCATGGCGGCCATCTTGGTTGGTTGGCGGGGTCATCGGACACATTTTTTAAACTAGATACCCTAATGATGATTGTGGCCAAGTTTGGTTAAATTTGGCCCAGTGGTTTCAGAGTCCTGAGAAGATTTTTGTAAAAAGCTAACGACGACAACGTTTGGGCCAGGTGAGCTAAAAAGAAATCAAAGTGCTCCTGGAGTCCACTTTCCTTACCTTAATACACATGACAAAAATATTTTGGAAAATAAATGGGGAATGTCTCCATGGGACACAGATCATGATGCCCCCCCTTGAATATAACGTCATAAAGGGACATAACTCAAGAACAGTAAAAGTTGCACTACCCAAATGTGTACTTGATCTGAGTTTTGTGGTAATAAGCATTGTGTATAAGTTTCAGAACATTTGGTTGAGGCAAACTTAAGTTAGTGAACAAAAACAAAAAATTCCGCATTTTTTCTATTTGTAAATGGGCATAACTCTAGAATGGTAAAAGTGACGCTACCCAAATTTGAACTTGATCTGTGTTTTGTGGTAATAAGCATTGTGTATAAGTTTCATAACATTTGGTTAAGGCAAACTCAAGTTAGAAAACGGAAACTAAAAATTTTGCAATTTTTCCATTTATAAAGGGGCATAACTCTAGAACAGTTAAAGTGACACCACCAAAATTCAAATTTGATCTGTGTTTTGTAGTAATAAGAATTGTGCATAAGTTTCATAACATTTGGTTGAGGCAAACTTAAGTTAGAGAGCGGAAACTAAAAATTTTGTAATTTTTCCATTTATAAAGGGGCATAACTCTAGAACAGTTTAAGTGACACCACCAAAATTCAAATTTGATCTGTGTTTTGTAGTAATAAGAATTGTGCATAAGTTTCATAACATTTGGTTGAGGCAAACTTAAGTTAGAGAGCGGAAACTAAAAATTTTGTAATTTTTAACCGGATTTTCGAAGTAAAAATCAGTTATTGATTTGGGGATGTACGGCGGCGGGCGGGCGGGTGTGCGGGCGGCTGCTAGACAGTGTCTCTTCAATAACATGAAAACCCTTTGACAAATTTTTTTCAAATTTAGATATGTTGTTTCCTGCGACTAAATGAAGGTCAAGTTCAATTTTTACGTTTTTAGCTTTTCTCGTTTGTGAGTTATCGCCCTTTTTAATATCCATAAGTGGTATTTTTTTGTGATTGAGTTATTTTCCTTTGAACAGAAATTTTTAATTATATACATAAAGTTTGATTACACTAAGCCTTTATAGATTATTTTCACCTGTTAATATGTCCTGTTATCAGTTTAAAACACATGGTTAATGTCTTATCTTGAGTGACAGATTTATTTCAAAATTTTCTGTTTTCTAAGTGTTGATGATTAAAAGCTATATAGGAGTAAATATAGTTAGAAATTTACAGTTCATTATTAGATATTTTGAAGATAATTACAGATAAGTTTTATCGATTTTTAAAAGACATTGTATTAATGATAAATAACATTTTTGATTTTTTTTTCTTTTCTTTGGTAAATTGTAAATTGTTTGTTATTCTGTAAAAACTAATTTTCTGAATGCTATATATATTTTTTTGATTAGGTGAACTCCTTTCAAAACTTAGCTTATATTGTCTATTAATAAACATATATTTAGATTTCTGATTTTGGGCCCAGTTTTCAAGTTGGTCCAAATCGGGGTCCAAAATTAAACTGTGTTTGATTTCAACATAAATTGAATATATATAGGGTTCTTTGAAATGCTGAATTTAAACCTGTATTTATTTTCATTATTAGTTAGATAATACTTTTGTTTA